TATTGTTCATTTTTTGATAGTAAATGACACTTGAGCCTCGTTATAAAGACAGATTTGTCTTGTTTTTCTTATAGTGGGGTTAAACTGTATTTAACAATTCACTAGGGGACAAACATTATACATAGACTTCTTGAGACTTAGAAGAAAAATAAATTTCAAAAACAGAGGTGTATAAATAAATCAAATGAAGATACTTAATGTTGTCTCTTTGATTGAGGTTCGAGTGTATACAACGTTTCTGATAACTGACAATTAGAACTTCGTTAGAAGGACTTGTATTCCTTTATATAGAGGTTTCAGAGTCCCTTTGATCGAGGTCCGACTGTAATTCCTATATATCGAGGTTCGACTGTAATTCAATTTCTCCACACTGCAAAATCAATCAATTTTTCTTTCTAAATTTAAAATTCTCAAATACAATATTTCACTCACACATTTCTTAAAAATATCGTGACATTCGGTCAAATGGAGGCAAAAAAAACAATAGAAAGAAAAAAAATAACTCAATTTTGTTCCATTCTAGCTGACTCGTAAAAAGAAAACGAAGAACTTTTCACTAGTATATAGTCGCAGTAAGAAATCAAAAAGTGCATACCAAAGCGGGTATTACAAAGAGGAGAAAAAAGCAAAAAAAAAACAAAGAAAGAAAGAAACAAAAAAGGAATGACAAAATCGTTATTTCTTTAAAAATCAGTCAACTTTTTTACCTGCTGCACTTAAAGTGAAAGACCTCTTTTGCAAAAAAAAAAAAAAATGCAAGAGAAGAAAATGGAAGATAAAATTTAAAAACTAATTTCAGTTCAACTATATATATAGAACTCCCTCTCTCATGTCACGTTTTCACATTCGCCTTTTCGCAGGTAGCAAAAGAGAGAAAATGAGAGAGAAAGAGAGAGAGAGATATTATCCCAAGAGGATCAAGACTCGTTGAGAGAGTGAGGGCACAGAGAATATAACGTCGAGTGCGTGCAACTTAAAAAGGGGAGGAAAAAAAACAAAAAAAGAGAAAAGAGAATAAGCAAGAGAAAGGAAAAAAAGGAAAAAGGCTAAAAAAAGAAGAAAAAACAAAAAGAAAATGAAAAAATTGAAAAATAATCGGTCCTTAATATCGTTTCGAGTGTAACAATATTTTTTTTTTCATCACCTAATGGGAAATTTACAACTGGCGGAGTACTGCGCCAGCACTGGCAGTACTGGCATAACTCTGGGATGATAACGCTGTCTAACGCTGGCGAAGTACTGCCTGCCAGTGCTGCCAGACAGCGCTGGCGCAGCACTGGATCAGTGCTGGCTGAGAATATTGCCGCAATAAATGCCGTATTATTATTAATTAGTCGTAAATTAATAATTATAAATAATTTAGCAACAAAATGGTAAATAATATTAATAAATAGTTATTATTCATAAAATATTTCTCTTCTTAAAGAAATTGTATTAAAGATGTAGACTAACAATGGATATAGTAAATGAAGTAGAAAAAAATTGTTTATAACATTTAAAAATTAAATAATAAACAATTACAGTAAGTGTGCATTAGATTTTCATATTTTAGTACCTAACGATTGTAATCTTGAAATATCGCAAACCTATGAAAATAAACAAAATTGCTGACGAGGGGAATCGAACCTACGACCTACGGACTAACAGACTAACGCTCTAACCACTATGCTAACGACACATGTGTACAGTAAAGTATTAATATCTCAGTATCATTCAGACATACAATTGTTGAGTCAAAGATGAGAAAAAAATAGGGATACGTTAGAAATAATAAATTGAAATAAAATAAATTAAACTAAATTTTTAATAATTAAATTAAATTACTTTACTTATTGCATTTAACATTTTACGTAATTCTTAAATTACGTGGTAATTTTTTGATAATTTTTTATTCATAGTAAGAAGTATAATATAGTATTTTAATAGGATCCAAATTATTATTGAGATTAAAGTTTAAATTTTGTTTATAATTGTAATTTATTTAAATAAATTTATTATTTACAAAATTAGACAATTGAAGGGCTACATAAAATAAGGGGACGAACGCGTGGTTGAAAGGGATAATATCAGTCAGGTAGCAGCGAGCGGCTCAAGGCTTGTCACTGCTACCCGACTGGTAGTATCCCTTCCAAGCCTCGCGTTCGTCCCCTTATTTTATGTAGCCCTTCAATTATGTTAAATTATTATTATTAAATTTAATAAAAATAAAAAATGAACAACTGAAAAGTAAAATATTAATTTTTTTCAATAAATTTATATTTATAAACATTCATAAACTTTTTTTATAATTTTTTTCAAGTTTATGTCAAAAAAGCAATGTTGGCAAAGAGCGTTGTGAACAATTTGTCTATACTCAGCCAGCACTTGCCGCCGTGGCTTGTCCAAGCTTTGGCGAAACAAAAATTCTGTATTGCGCCAGCACTAATTGTCGAGGCTCGGCTAGACTACGCCGAACAATCGTCTGAGTACTAAGCCAGTGGTGAACATCGGCACTACACTGGCATTTCCCATTGGGCACTCGCAAATGCCAAGTCACTCTCGCCACTATTCAAAGCAAAAATTTTAAAATTATTTACAATATTTCAATGGAATTTATTTTGTAGAATTTAAAAGAAAAATTCTGCTTTAAATAAATTATTCTTTATATCATTTTAAAAAAAATTCTTTGAACATCAATCCCAGACAGTTGGTTATCTTTATTTCAGTAAAATATCATTTACAATTTATAAAAATAATTAAATGTCACACTAAAAAAGCATTTTTTTCATTCAAATAACCGATTACTTGTCGATAATATCAAGTAAATAATTTATTTATTTTATTTGTTTATTTATTTATTCGTATAAACGGGCATAAATAATTACTTGAATTGAATAATTTCTATTGCTGTAAACTAAATACTATTTGCTTCAATTAGAGAATGTATAGAATAAAGTTTTACATTATTAAAGTTTTGCTTTTATTTGAAAAATAAATTCATAAAAAAACTGTCATTCCATATAAATTATTAATTTAGTGAATAATTATATTTTTATCCCACATCCACAAAAATGGCGCTTTTAGATAGCTGACGACAGGGAGTAAAGTCACTCATTTGTTCGACCATATGAAAATAGCGTCCATTTTCTCCCATGTGCAAACATAACCGCTGATCCCATGCGTTATTTTTGCCCAAGGGAGAAAACGGCCGCCATTTTCATATAAGTCGAACAAGTGACTGACCTCGACCTCCACTCGTGTCACAAAAATCATCGTAAACAAATTGGCTGCCTTTATATCCTTGTTGCTTAATATACTATTAAAAATTCCAAAAATAATTTAATTTAAATATACCTACTGCAGCAAGCTTAATTACATTTTAAAATATTAAAATTTCATTTTATTTTAAATACTAATTTAACTCTTGAAGTACTATTATTGCTTATAAATTATTTAAAGAATAATTTTATTTGAAATTCTAAAAATATTTTTATTTTCATATATACTGCAGGAAGCTTTATCAAGCTTACAAGCTTAACTAAATTTTGCAATATTAAAATTAAATTTATTTAAAATATTAATTCAACTCTTGAAAAACTATCATTGGTTAGAAATTATTTATTGTGTAATTTTACTTGAATAATTCTAAAAATATTTGTATTTTAATATCTTGCAGCTAGCTTTATTGGGCTTGCAAGCTTAAGTTATTTTTACTGCAATAAGATGTAAGTATTTTCAAATATTAATTCAACTCCAAAAGGAAATGTAATTAGTACATTGAAATTATTGACAATTTTAAAAATAATTTTACTTAAAAATTCCAAAAATAACTTAATAGTCATATATTGCAGCAAGCTTTGTTAAGCTTGCAAGCCTAATTAAATTTTACAATATGAAAATATTATTTTATTTTAACGAAGAATTTTAATTCTTTTTATTATTTTTAATTATTGCAGGATACAAAAATATATAATTTTCCTACGAATTCTAAAAATTTCAAATTTTCCTTAGGACATTTAATAAAATTCTCTGAAATTTTCCTTCATTTCCCTGAATCAATTTGACTTTTCCCAAATTTCCCCATAAATTTGTTTGATTTGAGGAAATCGTGAGGCAAAAGGGTTTAGAAAAGGAGTTTGCAAGAAATGGAAATTTAAAATTTTCCCAATACTTTTGATAATATTCCCTGAAATTTTCCCTCATTTTTTCCCTGAGTCAATTTCACTTTTCCCGACTTTTGTCCTGAATTTTTTTTATTTGTGCCATTCCTGTGTCAAAAGGAGTTTGCAGGAAATGAAAATCCAGAATTTTCCTACGAGTTATAATAAGGATTGAAAAATTTCCCAGTTCTTTTGATAAAATTTCCTAAAATTTTCCCTTATTATTTCCCTGAGTCAATTTCACATTTCCCAACATTTCCCTTGAATTTTTTTTACTTGAAAGAATCCTGAAGGCAAAGGTGGTTCAAAAAGGGGTTCGTAGGAAATAAAAATTCAGACTTTTCCTACGAATTGTAAAATTTCGGAATTTTCCTAGTTTCGTTTGATAAAATTCCCTGAAATTTTCCTCATTATTTTCCTGAGTCAATTTCACTTTTTGCGACTTTTCCCCTGAATTTTCTTGACTTGCGACAATTCCGGGGGCAAAAGGAGTTCTCGCAAGAGGACGAACTAGTCTTCAACCCTTAACGAAAGGACTTTTTTTTCCTAACAGGATTCGTGTGTGTCGCCCAAGGGACCTCCTGATGTGTGTGCGCGCCTCCTCTCGTGTTAAAGAAAGTAATGGCCCAGTGGCCGCGACCGAGGCTTCTTCTTTTTTCCAACCCCCTTCGTGAATCCACCCCCTCTCCCCACACCCCCTTTTCCTTTGGCCTGTGTCTCTTTTTATACCATCCTTTTTTTCCCACATATACACACATATATATGTATAGTATTGGGCAATAGAAGCGCATGCGAATAGAAACAGGTGCGCGCGCTCGCGCACAATTATCCTCCGGCACTTTTCGATCGACGCAGAGCGGCAGAGAGCGAAATCTCGCCGTTCTCGGTTGTGTTACATCGCACGTTACTCGAATCCTCACGTTTTTTTATATATAAAAACACGCGCGCGAGATTTTTTTTTAAACTGTCGCGCGAGAAATTAAAAAATGTGTCTGCAAAAAATGTGAGTGATTTTTGGCTTTTTTTTATCTAAATAACAAAAAAAAAAAAAGAAAATGGTTAAAAATATTTTTTACTGGAAGTATCAGTGGTGCGTTTATTAAAAATAGTGAGAAAAAAATCTGTTTGAAAAGAAAAAGTGGGTTTTATTTTTGGAGAATTTTTTTTTCCTTCTGTATTCCTAGAGATTCTGTTTTTGAATGATGGTGATGATCTTACGGGAGTTTTTTTATCGTATCAAAAGAATGAAGAAGTAGGGATTATTTTTTGTTTTTTTTTGTTTTTCGTTTTTTTATTGTGGGTAGTAAAAAAAAGTGGTGTTAATATGGTGAATAATTGTTGTTTATGAGAAGAGAGGGATCATGATTAATTTCCGGATGTGTGGGTGGAATCGAGGATGGTCCAGACACCTCTATATTCTTTTGATTCCATTTTTACCGCTTTGGATTATCGGTGCACTATCCGTGAAAGACAGTGAGTTAATTTTTCTTATCTAAATTTGTAACCTCTAACTTAAATTTTAGTTTTTCTTTTTTAAAGTTGCGAAAAGTTTGAAAAGATAAAATTTAACATTAGAAGATAATTTATGGGGGGGGAAATATTAATTAATAATCCCTTTTGGAAACTTTATCGAATGAAAATTAATTAATAATCCCTTTTAGAAAATTAATTAATGATCTCCTTTTGGAAAATTAATTAATAATCCCTTTTGGAATACATCAATTTCCCCTCTTCTTTTGAGTGTGAAAAAAATTATACAAATTCCTGAAGTGGTGAAATTTTGCCTATGGCAAAAGATCAAAAACTTTATTCATTTGATGAATAGAATAAAATTTCATTTCTGGCATATTACGAACGATTTTAGACAAGTTCATCACCAGAATTATGACGAACTGCCACCTTGGAAAATTATTGTCCTAGTAATTGTAATTGTTTATAAATAATCCGACTATTCGGGGTAAATAAGTGGAAGTATGTAGTGAATTCAAATAAATATTTATTCAAAGACAGAGAATGTAAACTTTCAGCCTTAAGGATACAGATTAAGGTTATATAGATATTGATAAAGAAGATAAACATATTTTCCATGGAGAAGAAATTTTTATCTTCCTTATAGAAAATAAATTTATTCTTCTTTATAGAAGATAAACATCTTTTCATGAAGAAGAAAAAGATAGCAGAGAAGTATAGAATGAAGGGAAAAGTTGATTTCTTGAAGAATATCTGCAAATTGTGTGATGAGAAGTTGATGATATTTTGCTGGCTGGATGCTGTTGATGAAGAATATTAAGGAGCATTTGATAACGAAGATTTAGCACCGGTTCTGTTAATGTAGATTGTAATTTTCGTAATTATCCGAGTGAGTTATTAGTCACTGGCATATATATATGTATAGGTATATCCATAAATGAAGGTCATTAACCTTTTGCTGTTGCTGAATTATACCACACCACACGGGAAATGATGGTTGTGTTTTCCGTTCATAAAATTCGAATGCACTTTTAAAAGTCCTTTCCTTCAGACTTAATGTTCCTGATATAATGTATAGTTACTGCCATTCAAAAAATAAGGGGGAGATCAAAAAGGAATTTCGATCCATTTCCCTTTCTCGAAAGTACGAAATGAATTTTTCAAAAATGATACTTTTCGTTCGTGAAATATTAAAACCATCTAGTTTTCTATTTATCTTTATAACCATCTTTCTATCTATCTATCTATATCTTTCTTTCTATCTACCTTTCATCAACATGCAGAATAAATTACACATTCCTATTTTCGAATTTCACAGTGATTGAAACATTTGGTTACATTTGTCAGAAGAGGAAAATTTCAAAATTACTTTTAGAAGTCGAATTTTGTAGTTTAATGGAATGACAGTAGGTTATGTGTTAATGGAGATTTCATAGTTTAGTGCATTAGTGATGATTAGGAAGGTTGGTCGGTAATAAAGATTTGTAGTATTAGTAATAAATAATGACAACTTGTATGATTAGTAAACAGTAAAGAATTGCAGGATCTGTTAACAATAAAGAATTGTAGGACCACTAATTATTTAAGACTAACAGAATCAGTAAACAATAGGAATTACAAGTTGTGCCTATGATTAGAAACATTAGATGATAACACTTGACATCATTTGGTAATCATGTTCATAAAAATTAGGTGACAGTATTTCTCTAGATTATGTGTGAAAACATTTGGCTGAATTAGGTGACCATACTTAGCCAGATTATGTGACCATACTTATAGGGACTATATCTATGTAAGCAGAGCAACAGCAACATAGACTATGTAACAATATTTATCAATAATATCTGACAATATTTGCCAAGATTAGCTAATAATGATTAGAAAGATTAGATAGCGTTGATTGTCAGGATTAGGAAACAGTGGTTGTCATAATTAAAAATTAAGTAACAGTGATTGTCGAGTACTCTGATTTTCAAGATTAAGTAACAGTGCGATTATCAACGTAAGGCACAATAGAGAATTGCTAGTTGTGGTGTTAATTATTAATAACGATTAGATGATTAATAGTCAATAATTGCAGAATATTTGGGTATGGATACTGATTAGGATGAAATGTTATTTTGTATTTGCCATTAGTTCATTAATAGTTTCACTATTAGTCTACTAACAATTAGTAATATAGTGGAAAATGGAATCATTAAAACAAAAGGTTTGCTTTCAGTAGCGCAAAATACAAAACTGCAGGATTTGTATTTGAACATATTTTAAGTACAGAAATTGTAATTGCTTAGTTTGTAAATACAGACTTTGTAATTGCATACTTTGTAACAACAGAATTAGTAATAACAAAGGTTATACCTTAATAATTAAACTGAATCTATAATTTAGGAACTGCTTTAATAGCCTCGATAAACTTAGCAAAGGAAACCTAAAATAGTAAACTGTCAATAAAAAATAAAATATTCAAAAGGGTCAGAAAAATACAGCATTAGATAATAATAAGAAAAGAATAGAAAATTTGCTTCTAGTACTGATTGAAAATCTGAAGCATAAATAGTAAATTCTTACTTCAGTGATTAATTGCCCCAGAAAGATTATATGCATAAGATATGAGGATGATGGAAGTATTAAGTATTAATCAGACATTTGTAGATGGAGTATTAATACATATTAATAGGCTACGTGAATTGTACTTACATTCTGATCGTGGGTTCATTAACTATTAATACAGACTTTCCTTCTTACAATACGAATAATATTTGTAATGACTATACTCTCTAGAAGTACTAAGTATTAGAAGTCTATACCTAGTACTACACTGTAAAAAGAAAGGTACTAATTTAGTACCAAAATTGGTACTAAATCGTAATTTGGTTCTATTTTAGTACCGAAATCAGCTCTAATTTAGAACCTTTTTTTATAGTGTAGTATACATAAAGTATTTAAGAAGACTTATGAGCAATTAGAATTAAGCTATATTTCAAAACTGTAATTATTGAGCACTAATGTACTAAGGATTACCAGATTTTTTTCTATCTTCCTTCAGAAAGACTAGGTTTCGAATTAGTAATCTAGGTGTACGTAGTCCTTTGGGATATGTCCTTTATGGATATGTTCGGTAGATCTTATGGTGGCGAGGCTTTTCACTAAAGGACAACCAAAACAGAAAGTCAATATGAACGATTGTAGAAATGAGGAGTACCTGTGGCGTAATGCTTCGGCTAAATCCCTCACTGGTTCCGACCGTCAAGTGCCTAGCGCGTAGTCGGTGGAAAATAGCTCAAGGATGCAGGAGGGCAACAACGCGTTATTGGTACACCTTGTTGCTCTAATGCTGTCCTTCCAGTTTTGATGGCGTTGCAGGTCTGTTTTCAGCAATGCTTCTGACGTAGACATCAAGAACTGCAATTGTAATGGAGACAAGAGCATCAAGCTGCAGGAAGAAGAGATGGAGAAAGAAGTCAACAAAATGCTGAAGTTGTGCGAGGTTCAAAAGAACATGAGCATAGTCATTAAGAATGGCTTGAAAGTCCCACGAACCCTTATACAGGAGGTCGTAGTTAAACACGAAGAAGCGAGAGCGGAAGATGCTCACTTCTACCAGGGTTTGGTCTGTTCAAAGAAAGGACTTCGAGGCAGGAGACAAATAAGAAATCGTGTGAGCGCTCTTGTTCTAAGAAACGTTGTCTTAGAAGGACAAAAGAGAAATAGAAATCCAAGTGGTCCAGAGACGCCAAAAGACTAAAAAAAGAAGAACTGCGAAGTAAACGCTCTATAAATGTCTATGGAAACGGAAAAATTAAAAATTTCGATTAGGCAAGAAAATAGAGGACACTTTTGCGAGGATGTTACAAATCAGATTTATCAGTTTGACCTACAGTTAAAGTTAACGGATAGTATATTATACGTTAAGACGAAAAGCTTTCCTTCAAAAACTTTCCGAGACTTTATTACCACTCTCTCCCCGGGGCAAATAATGGATCCGCATACTAATCCCGTTTGGTTATTAACTTGTTAGCAGGATTCCTAGAGCAAATGAATGATCAATAGAGGGCGATCTTGTCCGATTGGAATTAAGGGGCTTTAACTCCAATCTGCTTTTGAATTCGTAGCACGTTTCTCTTGTCTGATGATGGTTGTTTAATTCTTGTAGCGTTGATTGTTTTCAATGTTGAATTGCGGTCGTATGATAAAATCGTAATCGTGTCTACAAATCTTTTAGAAATTTATTCTCTTAGAAGAGTTTAATGGTACTCGCACTTTAAATTAATTTTCCCTCCTTTTCTTTTTCATCTTCCTTATCGCTGCTACTATTTCCCTCCCTACAATTTTTTTCTCATCTTTCACCTTTTTTCGAAAATATTAAGCTTCTATAGTGAATTTTAATGATGACAGTCAAAGGGAGAATAATGACGTACAACAAATAAAAGCAAAAATCGTTAAATCAACGTTGAGGGTCAAAGAGAATGTATTCAAATTTCGATAATTTTGAAACTAATTATTTTCAATAGAGTAGTAGTTTCTCATTAAAAAATATTTAAAAAATTAAATTAACGGCTAGTTTAAAATTTTAATTAAAAGATGCCTTAATTTGACACTTGTAAATTTTTAAAGTGTCATTACATTTAATGAACTTCTCGAAAAGATAAAGCTAATTTTAAAGATGATATTTTATCATCCCCCAGTATATATACGTTGTTTGTCATAAAGATGCCACTTGATCTAAAAGTTATATGCTCACCCCCAAGGAAAATGTTGATTTTAAAGATAGTGTTCATTTTAAATCTCCAAGAACTCTTGAAGTTGAAACTTGACTTATAATTTTCAAGTTAAAATTTCACATTAAACGAAAGTTATATAATCTTAAATTTAAAATCTAAAAGTTAACTTCTGCATATATTAATATAATAGTTTTACCTTACCGTAAGGTAAATTGCATCTTAAATTACAAAACTAAAATCTTAATTATTACAATCCATGTTGTTTTTTAATAATTCACTAAA